AAGAAACGGGCCTCTTAGGGCTTTACTAAACTGTTCACTTTAAAACAAAGTGGAAAATGGAGATTTCATTTTAGCCATGCTCTTCTGACTCCCCCACCTTCATATTGAGTCACGATGTGGTTCAGAGAAGCTTAGGATGAGTTCATTCTCTGGAGAGAGCATGCAGAACGGAAAGATAATGTATATAATCTTTAATCAACATCATTGACTTAATCAGTGACATATAGTGAATATAACTGTCTGCAAAAGAGTTGTGGTGGGAAATAACAGAACAAGAGGGAGAGACGTGGTCCTTTCATTCAAATGAAGATGTGTCAGTGGTAATGGTCGCGTTCCTCTCCGGGGCTGCTTGATTATTAATGACAGTGTGGCAGAAACCTAATCTGACTACACGCTTTCCCGTCCGCTCTGATCTCAGCTGCGGGAGAACACCAAACAGGCTGATGCAAGACTGAAAGCGTAGAAAGAAACACGCACAAAGGGTTTGTCAAACATGCTGAACACTGATTCTTCATCTGATATCCTCATGCTTGAGGAGCTGAAGTTGGTGTAAGCAGAAGAGTCATGCCTGTTTAAACGGATGGATCAAGCACACCCTCACAGAGCCAAGTGGATTTTAAATGAAACTTCCAAAAAAAAAAAATATAACTGTAGTTAAAAAAACTAAAATAAATACAAATTACACACACATACGTTGCTCAAACTGACAACTTTTTCCACATGAAACACTAAAGTTGTTAAAAACGCCAAACATCAGAAATGCATTACGATCACTGAAATTGACAACTGAGTTTGGTTTATCAAATAATAATAATAATAATAATAATAATAAATGATAAGATATAACCCCAAATGTAGCAATACATTTTTTACATTGTCAATAAATAATTAAATAAATATAAAATAAATGCTGTTCTTTTAAACTTTCTATTCATCAAAGAATCCTGAAAACAGGTATCACATTTTCTACAAAAATATTAAGCAGCACAACTGTTTTAATATTTTAATCATAGCAATAATAAATGTTTCTTGAGCACCAAATCAGCATATTAGAATGATTTCTTTAGAATTATATGACACCGGAGACTCGAGAAATGCAGCAGAAAAGTAAGCTTTGCCATCACAGAAATAAATTAAATTTTTAAAATATATTAAAATGGAAATCTGTTTATTCAAATTAATAATATTTCACAATCAATATTTATTTGACAAATATGATCAGCCTTGAGAATTCTTTAAGTAATATTAAAAAAAATCTCACAAGACCTCAAAATTGTGAACAGTAGTATATTAAAAAAAATAATATATATATATATATATACACATTTTCTACAAAAATATTAAGCAGCACAACTGTTTTAATATTTTAATCATAGCAATAATAAATGTTTCTTGAGCACCAAATCAGCATATTAGAATGATTTCTTTCGAATTATATGACACCAGAGACTCGAGAAATGCAGCAGAAAAGTAAGCTTTGCCATCAAAGAAATAAATTAAATTTTTAAAATATATTAAAATGGAAATCTGTTTATTCAAATTAATAATATTTCACAATCAATATTTATTTGACAAATATGATCAGCCTTGAGAATTCTTTAAGTAATATTAAAAAAAATCTCACAAGACCTCAAAATTGTGAACAGTAGTATATTAAAAAAAATAATATATATATATATATATACAGCAATTAAGAAAAAGTAACAAAAATATGTCCTTGACGCCACTGGATGCATGAGTTTCACTCAGTTTGTTTGATGGACACGTCATGAACACGGCCTTGACACACAAAGACGCTCCTTCCTCCCTCCTCCTGAGAGCATCTCGCTTACATACTACACACAATGTTTCCTAATGAAACAGACCATCATTCATCCACACCGTTTGCACGGTTTAACCAAGAATGAAAAGCCAGGCGTGTCACCATCACAAGAGCCCTGGGAACTCTGAGAGAATCCTGAGAACCTGACACATGGAGAAAACAAACAAAAATGGAGGTACCTAAATTAATCTCCACAAAGACTAAATGAATAGAGAACAGACAAACTAAGTGGGGCTGCTGGACTTTTCACCCTAGGATCTGCCTCAAAGAGATCAGGAGGTGTGCTAAGTGAGCAAGGCATCAAAACGTTTTCAACACAATGGCCACAGCTTCAGACAGACAAATGCTAAGGCGCGGCGGCACCAGTGCTGATTAAGTTTAAAGTAGACTGTCTGTTTTTCCCCCTCCGGCCCGACTCGCTCTCTCATTTCCTCATTTTACTCCTGCCAAACCTGCTGAGCTCCGTCATGGCTGTAAGTGGCACTGGCTTTCTGACAGGCCTGTTGCGACAAAGATGGTAATCAGAGGAGGTTGGTATAATGGTCTCTACCTGACACACACAAACACATCCTTATTATTATTACAACAGCATTACAACATCTCAACATTCCCACGCTTCACCAGATCAGGAGTCCTGTCACACACTTCCTGTGTTTGACAGTCTAAATGAAAAGAAGTGAGGGGCAAATGGATGGAAAAGAGTGTAAGGATGTGCTCAAGCATGTTTCAACACTGACATTTTGTGCTTTTTCCTTGTTCTAAGTCCAGTTTTTTTCTGGTTCTTGCCTTTATTCATAATTTAGAAAAAATAAAACTTAAAAAAAAAAAAAATTGTATTGAAAGGAATAGTTCAGTTCAGTCATCATTTACTCACATTACTTCATCACCACAAACCCATGATTTAATTTTTTCCATGTAACGTGAGAAAAAAAATATTACTGTATTGTTTGCCCCTTTTTCCAATTTAAATAAATGGACACTAAACTTCAAAATGACACAAAAGCACAATAAAAGCATAAAAAGGGTCCATATGACCTGTGCCCTATAATGCAAGCCTGTGAGAAACATACAATTTAAAAGCACAATTCAAATGAAAATGTCAATGTTTACTCATCCTCGTCATTCCAAATCTGCATGACTTACCATACTTTCTTCTGCTGAACAAAAAATATATTTTGAGAAAAGTTGCTAACCAAACAGACTACCATTTTTTGGAGAGGGGCTTATCTTCTTGTATGCTTTACAGAAAGATATACAGACTTGGAATGACCTGAAGGTGAGTAAATGATGACAGAATTAACTTTTTTTTGTTGTTGTTGAACCATCCCTTTAAATTTTTATTCACCAATTACCTTCTTCCACAAGTTGTTAACTTCTGTGTAACTTTGAGTCATTGAACTTGAGAACTGGATCTGTCTGATTCATAAACAAAAGACTCAGACCTGTTTTGTGAATCTGGCGAACTGATTCATTAAAAAGATTCAACTCAAAAGAATGGTTCATTTATGAATCAGAGATTGCTATTTCTCTCAAACATATAAAAAAAAATGTTGATGTCAAGATTTTTTTAATTTCACAGGTCTATCTATTGTATGACTTTAAAACACTTGCTAAACATTGCACAAATCATATAGACCACTTTTATGGTTATGTTGTTCTGGAGCCAAAACAAACTTTAAATAATTCACCTTTTGTGTTCCACAGAAGAAATTGAGTAATTTGGGTGAACTCTCCCTTCACTAATACTAAGAACAAGGATGAAAACACAAAGAAATTAGTGACACATGAAGTGGGCTTCTATCAGTCTTGAAAAACATGGTTACCTCTTTCCTGGCCAGCTACACTCAACCCCTGTTCATCTTCCTGTCTCATGTCATCCATACCTTTCATCAGTCACATTCAATCAGCTCACTATCAGTTCTGAGCGGCAGTGGCAGGACTGTGTGATGGAGAGGGAGCTGGAGGATTATGGGTCGCTGTGTTGGCTGCTGGTTTGTTTTGGCATTTCATCAGACAGCGAGATCTCAGTAGTGAGCGAGTCCTGAGCGATGAGTCTGTCCCACTGGCCCTTTGTGTCTGAATGTGAGTGAACTATTAAAGGAAACACTGTTATTAATTATGGGACTAGGAACAAAAACACCTCTCTCCTCACAACCCTGTTGAATAAAAAGTGTACAGGACATAACAGATTGACCTATTTAATGTCCATTTGGAGGAGATGTTTTATAACCGCACAGGTTGTAAACTCATGATCATTGACAGAATGAAACAATACAGGTACATGAATTGTTGTTCAGATGAGGCTTCCACAAAATTAATCTGAGATCACTTGGCAGATGACAGACAACCAGATATAAAGGTATATTACTAAAATACAGGATTCAATATTCACTTTGCATATTTCATTTAAGAAAGACTTTGAAGCTTGACAAAAGGTTTGAATCTGTTTTGTATGAAAATAAAAACAGAAATATATGAAAAAGAAGGCAAGGACAAACATAACAGTGAAGCAAATGAATAAACATCAGTGCACCTTGATTTTGATTTGTGTTTATGTGGACTGTAGGACTAAACTAAATACACTAACAGTACAGAGTGAGATATTGACACTGCTTGATTGTAAACCAATGTATTAAAAGAAGAAAATGACAACAAAAACATGTATTTAGTGACATATCTTTATCCCTTTAATGTCTGGACCTCACCTAGTTCACCCAATAAATGACGATTCTAGCAACATTTACGCACCCTCATGTTGCTACTAGTGATGCCCCAAAACTATTTTTTTTTTAACAATAACACAGAAAATCATCAACTTGAATTTGTCATTTAGTTGAAAACTGAAAATAAAGGTTGGTCGATTCAATTGAGGTAACTTCAGGGTGTAATGTTCTCAGATGATTAAATTAAATTAAAGCAGTAAGTCTTCGGAAATAAGCCACCTCTTGATATTTCAGTTGAACAAATTTAACATTTTGCTACTTTAGCTTTCTTTTTTCTTATGTTGAAATACAACCAAACTGCTGACATGTTGACCCTTTTTTTACCTTATTCACTTTATGCGCACAAAACAGATTGTGACACGGTCAAAATGCATAATCTGTGAAACGTTAATTAAACGTCATTGGTTCTATCAAAACTATTTAGGCTGGACACAATTTTTTCCCCCCTGTTTTGACCTGTTTCGGTCTTGGGTTGCTGAAATTTTAGAGCATCACTAGTGGTTACAAATCCATATGACATTCTTTCTACGTACTTGTTACACACGAGTTAAGTTGGAAGGGGACTGTTGAGCACCAAAAATAATAAAGTACCATTGAAGTTCATATGACTTATGTTCTATATTCAAGTCCTCTAAGTTATACAATAGAACCGAATTATGACAGGATTTTCATTTTTGGGTGAACTAATCCTGTCTGAAATGCCTTGTAACATTCGAGGTTACCATTTCACATCAATTTCACTGAGATCCAATTGTGGAAGTGCTGCTGTTAGGCTTCCAAGACTCTTGACTAATCAGCTCAGACTAAGTACATTCCCTCATATGTCCTTTCCAAATGCCTGCCCTCAACAACAGCTAGTACTTGTGGACTGGGCAATAAAGGAAAATGAAAATGGAAGGAAAAGAGAATAGAGAGAAACAGATAGATGGAACTGAAAGAAAGAAGCCAGCTTCTGCACACATCGGGTTATACTGTACATTAATAAAAGCTCTGTCTACAGGGACCCTGAGGCTTTGATCAGCCATGAGCACTTACTAAAAAGGCTAAATAAATCCTCACAGCTCTGATTTCAATTTAAAAATCTCAATAGGGAACGGGCTAAAAAAAAAAAGTAAAAGTCCAAAAAATATCAAAATATATTAATTTTCTATTTAAATAAAATCACTCTGGGCCCACTGAACATCACTTGATGCCCCCCCCCCATATATATTGTTAATGCTGGGCTGATTAAACTAGCTGCAGAGTAACAGGCCAATGGACTACAAGTTCTGAAATACAAAAATGTGTACTTTGAACACAGAAAAATAATAATCATCCATTTGGTTTCTATAAACTAATGTTAAAAATACACTAAGGAGTGGTCAACACCACCAGACCACTTGATTGGCAGTCTGAAACACTCTCTCAACGGCGGCTAAACAAGCAGGCGTTTGCTGACTTTCTGAGTGCAGTTACACCTGGTCAGCTATATCCGCCACGACAAAACAAAAAAAAACCCTATATGTTTCCACTTTAGTCTCCAAAAACAGATAAACCACTTCATATGTGTTAAGACAACTAAAATATTTCCCTGTCACCATCTACAACCAAAAATAACATTACACAATAAAACAAAATCTTTCACAGTTCTTAAAGTCCTTCCCTTAGTTTCCCCCCAAATTTGATGCCTTGTTCCATTGTTCTTTTTGTCCTGTTTTGTGCTGATGCTCAGGAATGAGTCCAGCTGACGGGCACCCAGTGAGCTTCTGTCTCCACTTTTCTGAGTGCCTGCTTGAGCTCGTTGAAGGCAATCGTGAGGTCATCGTTCACAATGACCTTTTCAAAGAGGTGACCGTACTGGTTTTCCATCATATGAGCAGTACTGATCATCTCCTGGAAGTCCTCCTCCTAAACAACAAACACATTCAGTCAAAGTTATTTTTAAGGACATAAAAAAATGCCCCGAAAAAGTCCAAAACACCCTTTTCCACAGTATTCCAAAAAGGACTTTCATAGATGCCCTCAACATTGACTTAATTAAAAAGTATTCTTTTTTTTGTTTACAATAAAACTGCTTTAGATGCAGAAATGCAAAAATATCAACATGTGATAAAAGATAAAACTATAAACTGATATTTAATGTTCTACACAGTTAGAGTTATAGTTTGAGGTCTGGATCTCCAGTGGTTTTGATCACAGGAACAGTGGAGTGAATAAACAGACCGCAATTTTATACCCTGGCATATGTTACACACTGGTGCTTAAAAGCCCAAGAAAATGATCAACAGTCATTATTCATTAAATAGTTTTACCGTTCAAAAACTGACGTCGCAGAAAAACTGCAAAAATACAACAAGCTAAAATCAGACATACTTTATAACAAACACATCAACCTCCCACCACTAAGTACTCTTTTCATGACATTACAGTCTTGGTATAGGTTAGTTATGGACTTTCTAGCGTGGCCTTTGACCTTTCTGGGCTTGTGGGTCCTAAATAAGTGTTTATGTGGGCAATCTTGGTATTTGGTGCCAGTCTCGGAGAACATGGCAGGGTTTGAGTGGCTTTACCAATATAGACTCAACTTTTACAACACATAAACATGGGACCCATACTGAGAGCGAAATGACGCTATAAAACATATTGCCACTCTAAGTCAGAAGCTTTTGACCAGATTTAAAACATTTTACATTTTGCTGAGAAGCTAATTAAGCACATAGTAAGTATGGAAATGTTGGAATTTGGCATTAGCAGACAAGACAGCGGCAAGCTTAACGAAGCCATGGCGCATGGCCATTGTCAGACGGCAACTTCCCCTCCTCCCACTCTCAGTTAAAGCCTTCCAATCTTTCCTGATCAAGAGTTGAGATTTAGTCAACATTTCTGTTTCATTTGGGTCACAGAGCTGCTGGCGTTCTGAAAATTACAGCAGTCTCTCAATCTGACAGTTATTGGCAAAACGCATCAACAGTCGCAGTTCATTGACTTAGTCATGGCTTTAATAAAGCTCTGGTTCAACGTGGTGGATTAGCTTGTATTTGGCCTAAATAGTCAAAGGTTTGGCCCAAGGTCTGAATATATTTTTTCTTCATTCTGTCATCAAATAAAAACCTCATGCTAATTGAGGTATAACAGATGTTGTGCCTCCAGGGGAGTGTTATTACCAAATCTGATCAGTTTCAAGGGTTTAAATATATTTTTCCTCTGCATTTCTTTCCGATTGTTTATTTCTCAAAGGTTCTAATGCGCTCTATCACTCAAAATCTGGGTCTTCCCTCTTCAAAAACTGAAGAATTTCTTCAGTACTAAGCTGCGTCTCGCTCTCCTCCTCCACAGTCAGCGTTAAGGTCTGCTTATCTCTCAATCCTTGCCGGAAAATCGATTTTTATTGGATCATATAAAGTGCACCTGCCCTTATCATTAAACCAGTTCAAAAAAAGACATCTCTGGGTCGTCAAGAGGTCCCTGTTTTTATATTCCCAAAGTAAAGGCACTTCATCTGTGGACTGGGCTGACTTTCACCAAGCACAGGACAAAAAAAAAAAGTATCCTCCAATTTTAGCTTATGTTTCCATTCCTCATTATGACGATTTAATGCCAGACAATGAAACCCTCTGCTCTTCCACCTCTGATGACATTTTTATGAAATTCCAAGTTTTTTTTTGCTACTCCTAAAAAGAGAATGTTATACAAGCAATACTAAAAGGGAGAACAACAGAGTAGAAGACTGGATTCACAGAAACAAAGGGATGCCTGTTTTCTTGCAGAGCCGACAGTGCTCAAGTTCATGGTTCTAACAGACGTAGCGTCTCTCTGGGAAAGAAATACGGCTAAGTCCAGGATAAAATATGTCTGTGACATTTCATCAAACACAATTTTTCTTACGTACCTATAATAGGCTGAATCTGGGTGCCTTTAACACTGTCAGGGTCTATAATGCACTTTTGCTAAGTTTTGCCAGCTACAAAGGCTTTCTTTTTCCCTTTACTAGTACCCACAGTGACCTGTTGAAAGCAGGCAGACGTAGCTGAGGATTGTGTGGACAGCCTTTGGTACAGTTCCTCTTATAACAGAGATAGCCAGGGCAACATTCCCACTGACAACGGCATAATCCTTGAGCTTTCGGGGAATTTAAAACTTTGGGGAGTATGGTATGGTCTAATCACACATTCAGTGGTTTGAATTAATGTGACCAGCATCTATTCAGTTTCAAAGTTATTGAAATAAGAATAATGAAATACGCTTCTAGTATAAATTTGTGAGCATGTGTATTAGGGCTGCACAATATGTCAAAATAAAATGGATATCGGGATATGGTTTAACGTGATGGCAAATCGTGAAGGCTGTGATTTATTTAAATAAATGTGCACTGTCGATATCAATGGTGAAGCTCGGCACTGTTCATCAGGGTTTCTGCAGGATTTTTAAGCTCAAATTTAAGACCTTTTAAGACCTTTTTTAAGATCTGCACAAATAAATTTAATACCATATGAGCGGGGTATGGCAATGCCTATAGTACCATATTAAACTGTAAAAACATAATTTACAGTTCAGATACAAGTTTTCACAAAAACAAAAAGTTTTACAAATGATAAACTTTACATTTGAGCCTTTAAACCATTTTTAAGAAAACGGATGAGTCAAAAGTATTAATTATTAATTTAAACAATATTATGAATAAATTGTTATATAAATTAAATAACATAAATTAGGGGTGTGAAATATTGACAAAAAAATGATATTTTCTGGGATTTTATCGATAACGATAATTAGACGATATTTCGCTGAGTGTGTTATTGTGCTGGTATTTTAAGGACTACCATGGACAGCTGACAACTGATTTTTTGATATTCTTCATATTCTGTGTGGTCAGTTCACAGCAGTGATATAAATTAATCTTTTCCAACAAGTTTTATGGACATTTTTACCATTAAGCCATTTTTTCTAAAAGTGTGCATCATCTTTTGAGTCAAATTCTTGCATTTGGGCTGTTACCAAGCAAATGAAATCAGTATCAACACAATTCATCTTTGCAATGCAGTGAAAACGCAGAAGCTGCATCTGAAGTGGCATTTAGATGCATTTACACACGGTTTAATGCTTTAACTTGCAGTTACAAATGCATAAATAATGTTTTGATATTTTAAACATAAAACATTCAAAACTTGTTTGAAATTATTAAAAAAATTAAAAGATACTTTAAATGTGAAGTTAAAACCGCCAGCAGGTGGCAGCAAGTCACAGTTAATAAGTGAGTCATTGCGATTGAACCGAATCATTTAAACGGTTGATT